CCTCTGCTCCCGTCATATCTGCCTGCAAGCTCTCCCTTCAACTTCCCAACCTCGTAGACAATGCCGCCTTTGGCTCGCGTGCGCGGGCAGAGCAGCACCGGGAAGGAGTGGAGCGCGAGGTGGAGTGGGGACGGGTGCTTGGTGGGCACAGCTGGTTGGGCAACCCGGAACCGGGGAGAGTTTCTGTGAGAGAGATTCTTGTTTCAAGTCAAATCGGGTCTAAGCCCATGGTGACCGGCAGATACCGGCTCCCACAGCCCAGAACAGTGAGAGTGGGTATGCTACTGATGTTGGAGGAGTGAAAGAGTGGTTAGGAGAGGGTGGAGAGCAGTGGAGAGGTACAGATGCGGAGGAAGCAGTCAGGAATCGTGATCAACCATTGAGGAGTGGGTTAAAGGCAAGATGGGGTGACTAGGCTAGTGGAAGCGCGTATGCCAAGTCTGAGGGATGTGGACTGAGACAAAAAGAGCCTGGAACGAGCGAGAAATGGTGATTTTTTGGTCTTGATCTGGAAGAGCGGTGGCAACGTGTTCCGGCGCGGTTGAGGCGGGTCAAGTCGAAGTTGTGGGATTGCTTGATGTGTTGGGTCAACAGTGCAGGCATACGAGCACAATTGAAGGGTTTTTGGCTGAGGAAGGGAGGGAGAGGGAAATGGCGGAGGGAGCTCGATCCCAGTGAGTCGTCAGGCGCATTCCTCTGCTTCTTCTGGGTACTGTTCCTACTTCTCCACCTTCTCCACCTCTTCCGAGCCACTGAGCCGCTCCCCCATGACTCTTTCTCCCCCCAAACCCGCGTCAATCCGCCTCCAACACACGCACAGCCCCTCCAGTCCCCCTATGGGCCCCACAACAAGACCTGAACCTGCCCCACCGCTGTAGATTTGCTGAACAATCTCAAGCAATACATAGAGCGGTCGTACAACTGCCAAGATTGCTACGGGCCGATATGCGCTTGTCAAGATGGGTTAGAGGAAGAAAAGGTAGGAGGAGTTGACGACAGATCTGGGTGCCCTTGAGAGGTGCGGCGGCCGAGAGTCATTTGAACAAGTCTTAGGTATCATCGCATTCCGGCGCCGAGCGGTGGCGGAGGAGCTGAGGGGCGAGAAGAGGAGCTTTAGGTTGCTGGCCAAGCCTGCGTTGCTGACGAAGTGTGCAGCGGGTGTGAGGCTGTGATACTCAATGGCAAGGCTGTAGAGAGTGTGTTGAGGCAAGGTTGGTATAGGGCCTGCTGGGAGGCAGGTAAGGATGGTGATTGTAGGAAGGGTGGGTGGAGAAGTGGTGAGCCTGATACGGTGTTGGGAATGGCGGAACTGCCGAGGGGTTGGCTGGTCTTGCTGTCAAAAGGGGACGTGACGTCTGGAAGGTTGTTGCTGCCAAAGTCGCATAGGCCAAGCTTGCGATCACGGGCGTGGAGACGGGATTGAGAACGGAGTGATGGCGAGACGTTGAGGTTCGCGGAGCATGCGCAGCAGACGACGTCGGCGGAGCGTTCTCGTCGCCTTTGGAGTACTGACAGTGGGCACTCTAAGGCGGAGCGGCCGCGGAATGAAGATCGCCGGAGGTCAGCCGCGCGCTTGAGTTGGCCGACAAAGGTGGGCCATTCCTTGCTGTCAGAGGTGCCTTCTTTGGACCGCTGCCGCGCGCTGCAATAGCAGCAAGTCTCTGCTGAGTCTGCATCTCAGTGATTAAGAGAGAGAGAGAAGTTCTTTTTTCAAGTCAGATCGGGTCTAAGCCCATGTAGACCGGCAGAGGCTGGCTGCCACAGCACATAACGAGTGAGCTGGGGTATCTACTGATGTGGAGAGGCAATAGGGAGTGGAGAAACAGATGGGTGAGGGCAGTAGAGCGGAAAAGTAAGAGAGAGCGTGAGAAAGTGCAAAAGAATGGGGAGAAGTGAAGATGAAAGGGTGCGGTGTGGTGAGCCGGTAGAAAAGTGTGTGTGGGGTTGGAGGAACGAAAAACGAAGCCAATCCATTGAGAAACCATTGAGAAAATGCCAATCTTGTTCTTGACCTTCTTGAGCCGCGACGACGACGGTGGTGGTGGTGGGGACGGAGTGTGGGCGGTTTGTGTGGTAGAGAATGATGAAGGGTGCCTGCCTAGCCCGGGGCGGGGCAGATCGAGGACGAATTGGGCGAGAGAGTTGCAAAGGAGATAGTGGAGGGGAAGTCGGTGTGTTGAGGGCCTTGGGCTGTCTTCCTACAACCCTCTGTCGTCGCATCCCTCCCTTGTGTCCTCTCCTCACTCCTTGTCCTTCGCCGGCTCCGTCAGGCAGGCAAAACGGCCCGTTGCGGCAATGAAGTCGAGGAGGGGCAGCCGGAAGTCTATGTTGTAGCGATGGGCGGAAAGGTCAGGCGATGCGGTCAACGAAGAGAGCGCTAAGTGCGAAGCAGACTCACCTTGTATGAAAACGGGCTTCCGCTTGCCCGTCCACGGTATGATCACGGCTTGATGCCGGCTCATCCCGAGCATAAAGCCCTTCTCGTTGAAATTCCAAACCTGCACCGGCCGAACGATACCGCGGGTTTTCCGATGTGCCTTCGTGAGTG